AGTGGGCATATGTGCCAAGGGAGGGAGGCAAGACTAGGAGAATCCAGCACCCCTTTAATTCTGGGGAGAAAAGAGAGGGTCCAGTTTATGAGAACTGGAAAAGAGAGGGATCTAAGTAGATGGAGCTGGCAAGAAGAAATGAAGGGTACAAAGCTCTAGAAAGTGGTGCTAATTAATCCACCTAAGCTGGATGAGAGGCTAGGACTCGGTCTTGGGATTGACGAGAGTTTCATCTAGTGTGTGGGGGGCTGTGTCTCCCCCTAGGGAGGCAAAGGCAGCATTTGCGCTCAGAAATCCCAGGTCCCTGGAGCAGGCAGGGCTTTTGACGCCTCTAGCCCACGCTCCTCCCCATGTACCTATGGCGACACTGAGGCTCTGGGCGCATGTTGCAGGGTTCTCTTGGGCAACAGAGCAAGGAATAGTGACTCCAGCTTGGGAGACGTGCTTCCCACTGCTCCAGAGGGACCAACTTTGAGGACTTGGATGCTGGACTTCTGTGGAAGTCCCAGCTCCACGTTCCAACTCCTTAGCTGCCAGAGCGGCAAGTCAGCAGCCGGGGCTGGCACCCATCCAGCCCTGGGAACTCGGTGTCCTCCGGGCAGATAAGGCGGGTGGGGCTTCCCAGGAAAAGCCTCAAGGAGGAAGCATCCCCACGTTCCGCTCATCCGGAAGAGGGAGTGGAAATCAGTTTTTAGCCAGGACTGTTCCCCGGGCTTCTGTCCTCTGAAGGCTTGGACTATGATTCCCCCATTCTTCCCAGCCTTCCATCCCACTAAACAACACTTCACCCTTTCACTTGTCTCACCTCTGCTGTTCCCTTTTGCCTGAAATGCTTCCCTTCTTCTCCTCTGCCTGTCCCAATTCCTGCCCATCTTTTCAAGCCTGTGCCAATGCTACCTCTTCCAGGAAGCTCTCCTGGACTCTCCATCCCTTGCTCTCTGGTCAGAAGTCTAGTTCCTTTCCTGGGCTCCCAGGAAAATTCAGTTCCAGCTGCTGCTGCTGTTGTTCAGTGTCACGGACATGCCCTGAAAACCTACGCAGTGTATCAGATAATCTTGGCCCTGCCTTCAGAGAGCTTAGAGTTCTGTGAGGCAGACAGAGGTTGACACCTTCTCCCCACCACCAAATGGGTAAAGTCATAGGGCTGGTTGGTGCGGGAGGCTGCAGGTTGTCAGAGGAGGGCTCCCAGCCCCAATCCAGGAGGGCTTCTTGGAAGAGGACCCATCTGTGTTCACAACCGGACAACACAGTGGGTCGTCAGCATCTGGGTGGAAAAACCTAGGAGAGAGAAAAGGTCTGGAAAACTCTTAAAGATCCCAAGGGCCCCTCAGGCAGGGTTTGTAGGCAGCTCTACTCTATTTGGCTCATTCTTTCTTGGTGAATTCCAAGCTAGCAATGAAAAGAGGGATTCCAGGAACCTCAGTGAAATGGCTCATCGGGAAGTTTGGTCCCAAGAGAAGGGTGGACAGCCTAGAAGGACACACACAATCCTCAAAATAACCACGAGGCCAGAACAGTGGCTCGCGCCTGTAATCCCAGTACTTTGGGGGGCCGAGGTGGGTAGATCACTTGAGCCCAGGAGTTGCAGACTGGCCTGGGCAAGACAGCAAAACTCCGTTTCTACAAAAAATACAAAAATTAGCTGGGCGTGGTGGCACATGCCTGTAGTCCCAGCTACTTGGGAGGCTGAGGTGGGAGAATCACTTGATCCCAGGAGATTGAGGCTGTAATGCGCCATGATTGCACCACTGCACTTTAGACTGGGCATAAGACCGAGACCCTATCTCAAAACAATAAAATAAAATAAATAAATAAAATTAAAAGCCCATAGGACCCAGGAAATTACTCTGTCGGAAACCATTCCAATACATATGCGGGGTTAATGACTTTGGACATCAAGAAAAGCAAAAAGCCAAGGTTGTCAACCCTGGCTATGCATTAGAGTCACCTGGAGTGGGCTGGGTGTGGTGGCTCAAGGTTGTAATCCTAGCACTTTGGGAGGCTGAGGCGGGTGAATTGCCTGAGCTCAGGAGTTTGAGACCAGCCTGGGCAACATGATGAAACCCCGTCTCTACTAAAATACAAAAAAATTAGCCGGGTGTGGCGGTGTATGCCTGTAATCCCAGCTACTCGGGAGGCTGAGGCAGGAGAATTGCGAGAACCTGGGAGGTGGAGGTTGCAGTGAGCCGAGATCATGCCACTGCACTCATGCCTGGGCGATAGAGTGAGACTCCATCTCAAAAAAAAAGAATCACCTGGAGTGGTTACTAAAGTGTCTTTACTAAAAGACAAAACCTGGCTTTAGGGTGTTTAATTTCCTCTTGTTGGACCATCATACTATCATCAAACAGACATTTAGAGGATGTGGCTCTGCATCAGGCCCTGTTCTGGTCATTGGGATGTGATCCTCACGCTCAAAAAGCTCATTGGCTCTCACCTGTAATCCCAGCACTTTAAGAGGCTGAGGCGGGTGGATCACCTGAGGTCAGGAGTTCAAGACCAGCCTGAGCAACATGATGAAACCCTATCCCTACTAAAAATACAAAAAAATTAGCGGGCCATGGTGGTGCATGCCTGTAATCCTGGCTACTTGGGAGGCTGAGGCAGGAGAATCACTTGAACCCAAGAGGCAGAGGTTGCAGCAAGCCAAGATCATGCCATTGCACTCCAGCCTGGGCAATAGAGTGAGACTCTGTCAAAAAGAAGAGAGAAAAAGAGAAAAGACAGGAAGAGAGAAAGAGAGGGAGGAAGGAAGGAAGGAAGGAAGGCAGGCGGGCGTGGTGGCTTACGCCTGTAATCCCAGCACTTTGGGAGGCTGAGGTGGGTGGATCATGAGGTCAGGAGTTAAAGATCAGCCTGGCCAACATGGTGAAACCCCGTCTCTACCAAAAACTACAAAAATTAGCCAGGCGTGGTAGCACGCACCTGTGGTTCTGGCTACTCGGGAGGCTGAGGCAGAAGAATCGCTTGAACCCGGGAGGTGGAGGTTGCAGTGAGCTGAGATCGTGTCACTGCACTCCAGTCTGGGCGACAGGGCGAGACTCCATCAAAAAAAAATAAAAAGGGAAAGAAAGAAGAAACAAAGAGGGAGGGAGGGAGGGAAGGAGGAAGAAAGGAAGGAAGGAAGGAAGGAAGGAAGGAAGGAAGGAAGGAAGGAAGGGGGGAGGGAGGGAGGGAGGGAATCAACTGGAGTGGTTAAAAAATACAGATGCCCCGACCCCATCTCAATTAATGAGACTCTGTGTCTGGGGTCTAGGGTATCCAGGAGATTCTGGTGCCAGGGTGGAGATCCACTGGCTTAAAGCATCGCTCAGGATCTCCCAGAGAAGAAGGCAGGGCAGTGTGCAAGATGGTATGGAAACATGTTTCAACAGAGATGGTTAAACTAAGGCAAGTTGTGTATTTAAAAGTTCAACTTCAGTTATCCAAGAAGTTCAGCTCTGCAAAACAGCTCAAGGAAGCAGGCTGCTGAAAGGAGAGGATGAAGCTAGGGACTGGCAAGAGAAAGATCCCCACTCTGCCACTTGCCTACCTGCCCAAAGTGGTGCTGGACTTGGGGCAAGTTATTGAACATCTCTGAGCCGATTTCCTCATCTGTAAAATGAGGACAGTCATGGTGTCAGGCCCAGACTTTGACTATTAGTAACAATGAAGTAAAGAAGTGCCCATTGTTCAATAAATATTAATTCCCATCTTCTGACCCAGAAGGTTCCAGATACATGAAGGCACCATTGTGCAAAAGATGGACTTTAATGCCCCTTGACATTTTTACATAGTGACTTACCATTTTTAGAGGAATATATCCAGTTCATAGGTAAGTCATTCCCCGGTGAATGGTAGGCAGACATTGACTCAGGGAAAAGCTATGTATATTCCTAGAAGAAGAGCCAGATCCTGGAAATGACAGGGAGTTTCAACAACCCTGGAGTCCTTTGATTTCCCAACCAACCATAGAGGCTTGTTTTTACTAAAAGACAAAACCTGGCTTTAGGATGTTTAGTTTCCTCTTGTTGGACCATCATGCCATCATCAAACAGACATTTAGAGGATGTGGCTCTGCATCAGGCCCTGTTCTGGGCATTGGTATATGATCCTCATGCTCAAAAAGCTCATTGGCTCACCCCTGTAATCCCAGCATTTTAAGAGGCTGAGGTGGGTGGATCACCTGAGGTCAGGAGTTCAAGACCAGCCTGACCAACATGATGAAACCCTGTCTCTACTAAAAATACAAAAAATTAGTGGGGCGTGGTGGTGCATGCCTGTAATCCTGGCTACTTGGGAGGCTGAGGCAGGAGAATCACTTGAACCCAAGAGGCGGAGGTTGCAGCGAGCCAAGATCGTGCCATTGCACTCAAGCCTGGGCAATAGAGTGAGACTTTGTTGAAAGAAAGAAAGAGAAAGAAAGAAAGAAAGAAAGAAAGAAAGAAAGAAAGAAAGAAAGAAAGAAAGAAAGAAAGAAGGAAGGAAGGAAGGAAGGAAGGAAAGAAAGAAAGAAAGAAAGAAAGACAGAAAGAAAGGAAGAAAGGAAGGAAGGAAGGGAGAGAAAGAGAGAGAAAGAAAGAAAGGAAGGAAGGAGGAAGGAAGGAAGGAAGGAGAGAAAGGAAAGGAAAAGAAAGAGAAAAAGAAAGAAAGAAGGAAAGAAAGGAAGGAAGGAAGGAGAGAAAGGAAAGGAAAAGAAAGAGAAAAACAAAGAAAGAAAGAAAGAAAAAGAAAGGATGAAAGAAAGAAGCTCCTTGTCTAGTGGAAAGCCTGACTTTAGTATCCTCTGGGTTGGGGGTGGGAGCAGGCAGTTAGAGGAAAGAGTGGCAGCCCAGGAGCACCAATGGGTTACTATGGCTCTCCATCTCTCCCTAGAGTCTCAGCTCTCCCACGAATGCAACTGCTGCCCCAGCCTGTACTGGCCTCCTTTTGTTTTCCCATCTGTAAAATGCAGTAGGGAGCCAGATAGGAGTGAATTCAATGATCTCTGTATGGAGAATTTTGGGAAACGTAATGAGTCCTACGGCCTCCACTCGTGTTTTAATTAAAGATGACAGCAAGCTCTGTTGGGAAAAATTTCACAACAGGCCCTGGACCCATCTGGCTTTTCCTCTGCGGGGGGTACAAGTGGAGCAATGATAGATGATTGTCATGTGATACATGGAGAACCTCCTTCCTCGCAGACCTTCTTTCTCATCTCCGCTCCACCTCAATACTGTGCCGCGCTGCCTGGCAGGGTGAGTCCCAGACTGGGCTCGGCCTCTTCCCACCAAGACTTCGGTCTCTGTATCTGAAAAATGACGATAAGCCCTCCTGTGTAATGTGCTGCTGGGGTGCTGGAAGGAGCAGACAGCAGCGACACGGGGGATCACCTGGGCCTGGTACAGCCTGGCCTCCACCCTCTGGGGTTTCCAGATTTGCATCGGACAGTTTGGTCTGAGAGGCCAGCTTGGCCCGGGCGAGGAGAATGTCACCCTGCTTCTGGGTGCATTTGAGAGCAGCTTTGTGACAGCAGCTGATGATCTCCATGATAAATGAGTCCCTAAATGAATCCTCGCATCACGGAGTTGAGTGTTTTTTGTTAGCCCTCAGAGGAAGGGAGGGAAGAGAGATGGAGGCCGGGGAAGGACACAAAGAAGCACCCAGCAGGCCTCTCACCAGCCCCTCTGCCTCCTTCTGGGCTCCTTTCTTTCCTTCCACCCATGTTTGCTAAGCTCCCAGTGTGTGCTGGGCCCTGTGCTGGCTCATAGAGCTCAGGGCTGAAGCATCCGCAGTCTCTGCTGCCCAGCAGACAGGAAGAGAAGCTCAGTGTGATCAGTGCTGCAACGGAGGGGAGGCCGGGAGACTGTGGGGACTAGAGGCGGGCTCTGACCTGTCCTGGCGGGTAGGGAGTGGCGGGGAAGGCATTCTAGGGAAAGCTTGCAGGGCGAGTCCACCCGGTGGAAGACAGCACTCCTGAAAGAGGGAGAACCACCGGCCCAAGCAGAGGACGGAAGCAAAGCTTTGGGGAGTGGAGCGCAGGAGGCAAGGGTGCAGGGTGGTGGAGACCACAGCCGGAGGGATCAGCAGAAGCTAGAGCCCGAATGGCCTCGAGTCCCAGGCTGGGAGCTCAGACACTCTTCAGAGGCCCGAGGGAGCCAGGGCAGGGTTTTCCCAGGAAAGGATGCCTGGGTTAACTGGAGGAGAGTGGATTGAAGAGGATGGACCGGGGGGCAGGGGGTTGGTGGGAGGCCCCCTGATTACTCGTGTTGCTTTCTTCACTCTCTCGGAGAGTGCATCTTGAGGGCCTGCTCGTCTCTCACCACGCATCAGCTGGTCAGCCCCTCCGCCGGGCACTGGCTCAGGAGCGAGCTGCAAAGCGCAGGCCCGCGCTCCACAAAGCTTCCTTTGTGAGGCGCCCGGGCCGTGGGGGCGTGGTGCTCTGCTGCCCTCTAGCGAGGGCTGGGGATGCGCCCTGCGGGGTGCCCAGCCGGCTGCTAAGGTCCCTGCAGGCCTTCCATCTGTCCTATCCTCAACCACGTCAGGGGAAGCCGAGACTTACTGCTCCTGAAGAAGGGATGCAGTCTGCAGACAAAAACAGGGTGAAGAGGAGAGGGGGTACACAGGAGAACTCAGCCCTAGCTGTGGGAACAGGGAGCACCGTGGTCAATGGGGGTGCCACTGGCTGGGAGCCCAGCTTAGCAGCTTTAGTTTCCTGGAATGAATAAGCCCAGACTCCGAAGGATGGAAGCGTAGTAATAGTGATGATGGTGGTGGTCACGGTAGAGATTTTGATGATGGTGGTGACGGTGGTTGCAGTGACTAAAAATGACTATGGCGCCTGCTGGTTAAGTAGGTGTTGGTGGTGATGGTTGAGTTTTGGTGATGGTGGTGATGGGGTTACGGTGATAGTGGTGGTAATGATGACGATGATGGAAGTAGAAATAGTGGTGGTGGTGATGGAGGAGGTGGCTAAACAGCTACTATGAACAGTCTGATATGTGTCTTTTTTTCTTTTCGTTTTTCTTTTTCTAGACTGGGTCTCACTCTGTTGCCTCTGCTGGAGTGCAGTGGTACGATCTCGGCTCACAGCCTCAACGTCTGGGCTCAAGTGATGCTCCCACTTCAGCCTCTTCACCCTGCTAATTTTTGTAATTTTTGTAATTTTTGTAGAGATGGGATTTCACCGTGTTGCCCAGGTTGGTCTTGAACTTCTGGCTCAAGCGATCCTCCTGCCTCAGCCTCCCAAAGTGCCGGGATTACAGGTGAGAAGCACCATGCCCAGTCTCATATACGTCTTTTGTTGGATATTTGCACTCATTTCTCTTAGGCAGAGACCTAAGTGGAATTGCTAGATCATGGGATAGGGATATGTTTAGCTTTAGTAGATATTGCAAAATCGTTTTCTGAAAATGGTTCACAAACATTTTCGTTTGAATTGTATTCATTCTGTTATGTGAGTACTTGTATCTCACTATGGTTTTAATTTCATTTCCCTGGTGACTAATTATGTTGGGCAATTTTCATATGTTTATTAAATATTTGGATATCATATTTTGCAAAATGCCAGTTCAAACCTTTTGGTCAGTTTCAAGTTGGGTTGTTATTCTTTTTCTTACTGGCTTGTAGAAGCTCTGTATATATTCTGGATAGAAGTCCTTTGTCAGATATACGTATTGCAAATAACTTTTCTCAGTCTGCGGTTTGCTTTTTTACCTCTTAAATGCAATCTTCTGATGAACAGTTTTTCATTTCAATGTGGTCCAATACATCAATTTTTTTTATGGTTAGTGCTTTTTTGTGACTTGTTTAGGAAACCTTTGTTTACTCTCAATGTCAGGAAAATATCGTCTAGATTTTCTTCTAAATTTAGATCCACCATAAATTTTAAATTAATATTGTGAATGATGTAAAGTATGAAATCAAGGATTTTTTTTTCTTTCCCTAAATGGATATCCAATTAATCCAGCCCAATTTGTTGAAAAGAACAATATTCTCCCAACTGAGGGCAGCGCTTCCTTTGTCATAAATCAGGTGATGCTTATGGACAGATGTGTTGCTGGAGGCTGTTCTATTTCATTCGCTGGTCTTTGCACCAATGCCACACTGTCTTGATCACTGTAGCTTTACATTAAGTCTTGGGATCTGGTAGATTAAGTTCTCCAACTTTGCTCTTCTGCATTATTATCTTGGCTGTTGTAGTCTTTTGCATTTTCATATAAATTTTAGAGTCAGCTTGTCAATTTTCATTTTTAAAAGTCCCTGCTGGGATATTGATTGGGACTGCATTGAATCTACATATGTCAGTTTACGGGAAAGTAACATCTTCACAATGCTCTATCTTCTAATTCATAAACATAGTAATTCTCTCCTTTTATTTAGGTCTTCCTAAATATCAGCAATGTTTTGCTCTTTTCAACATTTTATTTCAAATGCTTTTTATTAAATTTATTTCTAAGACATTGTGTTTTTTGATGCTGCTCTAAATGTTAACATTTTAATTTCCAATTGTGTATTTTATATGTAATTCACAAGTATATATAATATATGCATATTGACATTGTATCAGAGACTTTGGAGATTCTTAAGAATTTTCTATATACACATATGTCTGTGTATTTATGTATACTGTGAAAAATGACAGTCTTATTAACTTAATTCTTTCTTTCCAGTTTCTACATACGTTTCTGCCTTACTATACTAGGATGATGGTAAGAGAAGCGGAAGTTATTTTTATTATTAAATATGATATTACCTGTAGGCTTTTTCTGGTAAAGAACCTTTATTCAATTAAGAAATTTCCATCGTATTTTTAGTTTGTTGAAAGCTTTTATTTTTATAGTGAGCAAGTGTTAAATTTTACCAAATGTCTTTTCTGTATTTATTGAGATGACCATTCGATTTTCTCCTTTATTCTATCAATGTGTTGAATTACACTGATTGACTTTCAAATGTTCAAGCAACTTTTGAGTTACTGGACTAAATCCACACGTATTATGTATTTTCTATATTGCTGCGTTTGATTGGCCAATAATTATTTGGAATCTTAACAATTGTGCTCATGAGAGCTAAAGGCTGGCAGTTTTCTTTTCTTCTTATGTCATTGTAAGGATCAGATATCAGGGTTAGGCTGGTCGAATTTTTTAAAAAATGAATTTGGAAATTCTCCCTCTGGCTCTATTGCTGACATTTTGTCTAAGATTCATTTCATTACTTCCTTAAGTGTTTGGAAGATTCCCCTGTGAAGCCATCCAGGCTAAGTGCTTCCTTTGTGGGGAGGTTTTTAATTACAAATTCAACTTGTTGAACAGATATAAAATGATTCAGATATCCTACTCTTTTCTCTTATCCATTTTAGGAAATTGAGATTTTTAAGTGATTTGTTCATGAATTCACAAATATGGTCACGTTCAGATTTATTGACATAAAGTTACTCATAATATCCTCTATTACTCTTTTAATATCTGTAGGATCTGTAGTAAACTCCCTTTTTTATTTCTGATATTTGTACTTGGCATTTTCTCTTTTTATTTTCTTTCTTAGTTTGTTAAGCATTTATACAAGTTATTGATCTCATCAAAGAAACAAGTGTTGGCTATTGTATGTCAGCTACGGGTTTCACTGATTTGCGCTATTAGCTGCATAATTTCTTTCCCGCTTTGTTTGGGTTTAATGTGCTATTCTTTTTCTGGTTTCCTAAGATGAAAACTTCAATGACTGATTTTTCAATCGTTTTTTCTTTTCTAATATGAGCAGAGCTTATACATTTCTTCTCAGCATTGCCTAACTACATAGTTTACTTCCCTTATTGTTAATTTCAAAATATTCTCTAATCACCATCATTATTTATTCTTTGATCCAGAGGTCATTTAGAAGTATTTCCGTGTGATTTCCAATTATTTGGCAGCAGGGGAGGGAGGGCGGATTTTCTAGTTACCTTTCCCTTACTGATTCTAGGTTGATTCCTCTATGGTAAGATAACACACTCAATATTATTTTAATCACTCAAAATTGTTGAGGCTGGCTTTACAGCCCAACCTCTATTTTGGAAAATGTTTCATGTGCATTTGAAGATAATGTGTATTCTGCACATTATTGGGTATAGTGTTTTGTATATGTCATTTAGATCAAGTTGGGTAACAGTGTTGTTCAAATCTTCTATATTTTTACTGAATTTCTACCTGTTGTTCTTTAGTTACTGAGAAAGTTGGGTTAAGATTAGCATCTGTGGTGGTGAATTTGTCTATTCCTTTTTGTAGTTCTGTTATTAGATGGATACAATTTAAGATTATTATGTCTTCCTGTTGAATCATATAATATAATAAAATGTTTCTCACTGTCTCTGTTGATGCTTCTTGCATTAGAGTCCATTTTGTCTGATGTTAATATGGCTGTACTGCTTTCTTTTGGTTAGGGCTGGTGTGATACAACTTTTTCAATTCTTTCATTTTCAGTTATTTCTTTTCTTAAATTTGAAGTTGGCTTTCCTTTTTTTCAACATAGAAACATTTTGATTTTTGTATCCAGTTTGACAATGTTTGTCTTTTATTTGAAGTGTTCAGCCCATGTACAATTAATATACTTGCTGATGTAATTGGGTTTAATTGTATATTGTTATTTGTTTTTTATTTGTTCCATTTATTCTTTGTGACTTTCTTTCTTTCCCTTTCTTCCTTCCTTCCTCCCTTCCTTCCTTCCTCCCTCCCTCCCTCCCTCCCTCCCTTTCTTCCTTCCTTCCTTCCTTCCTTCCTTCCTTCCTTCCTTCCTTCCTTCCTTCCTTTCTTTTTTTGAGATGGGGTCTTACTCTGTTGCTCAGGCTGGAGTGCAGTGGCATGATCATGGCACACTGCAGACTTGACCTGGGCTCAGGCAATCTTCCTACCTCAGTCTCTCAAGTAGCTGGGACTACAGGCATGTGCCACTATACTCAGCTACTTTTTGTATTTTTTGTAGAAATGGCTTTTTTCCATGTTGCCCAGGCTGGTCTTGAACTCCTGGGCTCAAGCAATCCAGCTGCCTCAGCCTCCCAAAATGCTAGGATTATAGGTGTGAGCTACCACACCCAACATCTTTGTGACTTTATATCTCATTTTTTGTCTTCTTTTGAATCAGTCAAGTAGTTTAATTCATTTTTCTCTATTAGCTTCGTAGTTTTAACTCTTATTTTTACAGTAGTTATGTTAAAAATGTCACTATACATCCCTGAACTACTACGTCTACCTTAAGTTAGTACTTTTATCACTTCCCAAACAATTGAAGAACCAACGCTACAATTCTATGGTTTAACTCCATTCACTCCACTTATCCTTTATTCTAGTGTAATGTCTGTTTGCTTCTATATATATTATAATGGTAGCAAAAAGTTAGTGCTACTTTCTTTTAAACAGTCAAAATGATTCTCTTTTTTTTTCTTTTTTTTTTTTTTTTTTTGAGATGAAGTCTCACTCTGTCACCCAGACTGGAGTGCAGTGGCACGATCTCAGCCAACTGCAACCTCCACCTCCCGGGTTCAA